TGTCTCATATAAATTCTATTTCTCAGACCTCCTATCTTCGATGACATAAGCAGATCCCATTGGAAAATCTGGTTCTGAGACTACTTGCTCAGAAAATTTTAGTCTCAGAAAATTTAGTTAAGACATAATTCCCAAAAGGCAAGGCTTTGAAGATATTGGGGATAGGGATAAAGCAATTAGACGTAATTATTACCAGTGTCTAAAGCTTACATTACCAGTGTTTAAAGCTTAATAAAGCCTTTAACAAAGAACAGTTAGATAAGTCTCAGAAAGGAATCAGAGCAAAAGAAAAAAAGTTTATTTGATGTGTGAACACTAAATAATCTCTACATATGCGTTGCTATGTGTATAAAATTAATACATGCCTATCAGCTAGTTTGGTCTGCTAATTATGATACAAAAATATGGAAGAAAGGTCATAAAATTTCTTTTAGAATTAATTTGTACAATCCAAGAGATACATGCTAACACTGTTGCATGGCAAAATCTTATAGAGCTATAGGATTATTATTTCCCTTCACGGTCTAATGCTACCTTGAAACTAGCTGGCCTTCCTATTGCTGATTTAGGAGGCAGAAATGGGAGAGTATGATAGTGATAAGTGTTCAGAGAGGAGTAGGAAGAAAAAAGACACGGGTAATGTATGGGGCGACATGGAATATCGTGTCCTGGGCTATGTTAGTAAGCAATCTTGTCCTCCGTCTTCCAATTAGTAGGAGCGAGAACTCAGCCACCGACAGGAGCTCTGAGGGCGGTGAAGACAGGGGGGTTAGGGTATCTGTTCTCCTGGTTGAGCTTCCAGGCAGCATGCCTCTACCCAAGGCCACAGTTTTTCTGGAGGCAGGGGAGGGGGTGTCATCTTCCTTTTTTTTTTAAATTGTACTTTAGGTTCTGGGGTACATGTGCAGATCATGCAGGATTGTTGCATAGGTACATACATGGCAAGGTGGTTTGCTGCCTTCATCCCCTCCGTCGCCTGTATCTGGTATTTCTCCCCTCATTATTCCTCCCCACCCTCCCCACTCCTGTTGTCCCTCCCCTAGCTTCCCGCTACTGACTGCAGTATGTGATGCTCCCCTCCCTGTGTCCACGTGTTCTGATTGTTCAACACCCGCCTAAGATTGATACCATATGGTGTTTGGTTTTCTGTTCCTGTGTCAGTTTGCTGAGAATGATGGTTTCCGGATTCATCCATGTCCCTATGAAGGACACGAACTCATTGTTTTTTATGGCTGTATAATATTCCATGGTGTATATGTGTCACATTTTCTTTATCCAGTCTATCGATGATGGACATTTGGGTTGGTTCCAGGTCTTTGCTGGGGTCTTGTATCGTCACTTGCCCTGGGTTCTGCTGAAACTTGCTCCTTCCTCACTCTCTCATGCCTGTAGCTGCCAATGGTTCTCCACAATTGCTATCCCTGAAATGCTTGCAGTGGTGAAGATCTACTTTGTTGATTTCCTTGAACTATGCCCATACCTTTGTAAAACGTCCCTTCATTAACATGCCTCAAAACCCTTTTGAAGGTACCGACTGCTTTTTGCTTGGAACTCTGACTGATGCAATTGTCTTCTAACATAAATGGAGCATTAAGCTCTAACAAGGTAATTTTGGTAAATTCCAAGGAGATAAGGCAACAGTTTTTACTGACCTCTTTCTCTGGCCTTAGTAATAATAATTTAAAAAAAAAATCTTAAAATATAATCTGTCATTAATTATTGATGGAATAATGTTATCCTCATTAGTGCCTGCTCTTCTCTGGTAAGCCCAGCTCCTCAATCAACTTTAAACAAAATTATGGAACAACCTTATGAATTAAGTTTTGAACACATTAAATTTGAGATGCCTGATGGATAGTCTAATGGTAATACTTTCTAAGTGTTAAAAATGAAACTGTTTGGACCCTGAGACAGTGAGTTCCTCATTGCAGGCAATGTCCAGGCAGCAGCTGGTAAAGCAATGAATCACTTGCTGAGCTTCCTGATTTTAAGGTCTTTTCCAATAGGTACTTTTACGATTTTAATCCATAATGTTCTATCACCATAATATTTATTACGAAAATGTTGGCTATTCAGTTGGATATTTTAATAAAATGGTACATGAACAGTATACATATGTCTGTATGTATATTTATGCACAAAAATCTTAAAGAATGTTTCTATCTTCAGTATGACATGGTGGAAGCTCTGGTCTCTAGAGAGAGCTAAACCTCTGTCTCCCTGCCAGCTCTCAACAGAAAGCTGTATGTCCTGTGGAAGTTACCTAACATCTCTGAGTCTCAGTTTTCTCACATTTTTCTCATAGAGCAATGGTGAGAATTCAATGAGCTAACATCTAGAACAAATTTAGGTACTCAATAAAAGTTTCGCATTCACCATTAAACTGTTCTTCCTGTTACATTAATTAATAGTGCAAAGATAAATAAGAATGTGTTTAAGAATTCTTTTCTAAATGGAAAAACCACAAAGTAATGATCAACACCTCTACTTTAGCATCTCACAACATGACACGACCCGGCAGATACATTGTTGAAGAAGGAGCCTTTCCCGAGAGAGCCAATATTTTTAAATACTATAAACAAATTCTCTTTTTATAGTGCCACTATCCATCTTATAGCCATTTTGTACTTAAAACATCAAAAAATTATAAGCCAGGCATTATTATCTCTATTTATAAAGGAAAGAATTTATAAAGGGCAGATAACTCATTCATTATCCTATAGGAAGTAGTCTTTCCACTAACTCATCAGGACATTTTACTCTGGTTGGGAAAAGAAGACAAAAAAATTTAAAAAATTTAAAAAATCAAATTACATATAGCAACATAGACATGTTACATGAGTTAGGCCAACTCATTTCCAAGTACATTTAAGAATTTGTGGAGTGGGAAAATCTCCCTGCTCCATAAATTCTTGGGTGGGGTAGTCTGGCAATAAGAGAAACACGTAGCCTGTAGGTTCAGCACACCAGCAGAAACAAAACCAGAGCCTGACTCCTTCACATCCAAGTTGTGTCACTTTGGACAAACTATTCCGCTTTCTATGCCTCAACTCCTTCGTCTGCAGAATGGAGGTTAAAATAGAACCTGCCCATTGGGTTAAGATGAGGTTTAAATGAAACAATTTCATTAAAGTGCTTATTAAAACCCCTACTGCAGAGAAAGTGTTTAATAAGTAGAGTTGCTAATATTACAAGACAAAGCAACAGCATCCTACCGGAGAGCTAATTTGCTGAGATCCACAGAACTGGTTAGTGACAAAGCAGAGACTGGAGCCTAGTTCCTGTCCAGTGTCCTTCTGCTATGAATGAACCATCACTTAATTAGGTTTTGAAACACAGGTGATAAGAACTTCAGCTAAAAGAAAGAATGAGGGCTAGGTAATGCGCTATCTATCTGAAATCTATGGACGCTGCTTTTCTCAGAAGCAGACACGTCACAAATACCTATGAGAAAACATAAACAAATCACATTCCTTCCAAATGTTCCTGTCTTCCTTTTATGTGGGAGACTGCCTCACAGTTAAACACCTTATAACATGGTTCACTTGTGATTTCAGTGACCAAATCCCCTTTGACAGGTATAAAAAGGCACAGGCTTACAACACGTTTGGCTCTTACCATGACTAATGCCACAGTGAGGCATCAGTGTAGACAGTTCTGGCAGGACAGAAATGGATGAGGAGTTTAAAGAACCAAAGTAAAGCCTGCCATCATCTTCGAGACTAGCCTGTGCTCAGTTTTATACACACTCCTTAACTACTTTGAGTCACCAGGGACTCATCACTCTCAGTCTTAATTAAGAAAGCATTTTTCTAGTCACGTGTTGTAACCAGGAGAGCAGTAGTCTTACAACTAGTTACCATAACATCCTTGGCTAATAGGACAGGCTCTTTAACAATGCATTAAGGCTGAATGAATTTGGGCAATCAAGAATAAAATGATAGTGAAACTTTAAACAAGAGTGTGCTTAAGATGATTCTTCAGGCTTTTCCCTGATTAGTTTTCTTCTGTTAGAAGTATTTGTTGTTCATTTCCTTTTAAAAATCATTTCACATGGATCCTAATCAATTGCAGTGAGCACAAGTTGACCCAAAATCTTTATTAGGCTCTTGTGGCACCATCTTCCTGACTTTTCTTGGAATACAAGTAGAGCCTCCTTGGGTTTAAAAACTGCTTTTCTGGTTAATGAGGACTGAACAGTTTCATTCCTAATTACGGTAGTCCCTTTTATAATGTCATGTTTCTAGGAGATTGGAACATTTGCATCTTTAAACGCCAAGCCAGCAAAAACAGTTGTAGCATATATTAAACTCTGAGTAATTATAATATTCTATTTAATTCCTTCAGACTAGGAGAGAGACTTCCACATGAACTGTCTGCAGATTCCCAGAGAGTAACAGAGGAGAACATTCCAGGATAATGCTCATAAGAAAGGACTGAGTTGAGAAAGCTGCAGTTCTGAGGACCTGCATATTAACACAAGTGATGCAAGAGCCTAGGAGATATCTTTCTCAGCTCTATCAGCCTGAGGAATCTATTCATTCCTCCTGTTTCTTAAAGAATAGGGCGGCCTCCAGCTGCTTCTCTGTTAAACGTAAGGAATTTAAAACTCACCAGTTTAGAGGGCCTTGCTTAGATTATATGTTTGGATTTTAGCCAAAGTATATGGTGTTGATATGGAATTTTCAAAGTATATTACCCAGCAACATTCCTCTGCTGATTACTCCTTTTTGGCTCTGCATACTCAGTTTGTATTCTTCTAGTTGGTTCCTCTCTGTTTTTATTTTATCCAGTTACTTAACTTCACCCTCAAAACCAGGAAGAGTTTGGTAGTCACTTTTCCCCTTTAGCAAATATGATGGGCAGTAGCTGCCATCTCAACAATGGTGACAAAAGACAGAAGGAAATGACATATCCTCCCTTCACCGTAAGTCACCTTCCATACTCAAAAGTGACCTTGAGTCACTTTTCATGCTAATTCAGGCAAGACTTACTTTTAGGAAGAGGCCAGCATGGTATGACGCTTTAGCTTGATGGCCAACATTGCCACCTGTGTCATCTTGGAATCCCGGCTTCCACATCTGTAAAATGGATAACTCTCTGTAAAGATCAAGAGATAACACATACAAAGCGCCAAACTTGGTACACAAGGAAATGTTTGCTACACATTCATTGCCTTTCCTTTTCTTCCCTTTCTTTTTTTTTTTTTTTTTTTTTTTGAGACGGAGTTTCGCTCTTGTTACCCAGGCTGGAGTGCAATGGCGCGATCTCGGCTCACCGCAACCTCCGCCTCCTGGGTTCAAGCAATTCTCCTGCCTCAGCCTCCCGAGTAGCTGGGACTAAAGGCACACGCCACCATGCCCAGCTAATTTTTGCATTTTTAGTAGAGACGGGGTTTCACCATGTTGACCAGGATGGTCTCGATCTCTTGACCTCGTGATCCACCAGCTTCAGCCTCCCAAAGTGCTGGGATTACAGGCGTGAGCCATCGCACCCGGCCTTTCCCTTTCATTTTAAGGTGGTCAGATGTATCACTTAAATGTCTCCTAAGGAAAGAAAACCTGCAGTGGAAAGCTCAAAAATTGTTAACCAGTGAAAATGTTTTTCGGTAAGTAATTACATAAAATTGGAGAACATTCTAAATATATAACTTGTTTCATGTAATTCACCTGAGGCCTTTTAGGCAATGGGTGGCAAGAATAGCCTATATAAGAAATGCATGATCCAGCAAGAGATTAGCATTTGCCTGCTTACCACCAGAGGACAACATCAGGCTATAATCATTGCGTAAATACTCCTTATGAAATACTGGCCTCGGTGATGTCAGACCTCAAAAGAGGTATGTGGTACTTTTTTCCTAAGAGCATCCAAAGAGGGAGCACAGTGTATTGGAAAGAATATTGGTCTTTGACTCCAATTCCTGTTACCTATTTGCTAACTGAATGTCTCTGAAATTGAGATTTTGGGTGTGTGTTTAATCCGTAAAATGTGAAAGGGAATTTTTGATTGCCTCGCAGGATGATTTGAAGCAGATTCTCAAACTTCAGCGTGTGCACAAAGAACCCGAAGACCTCGTTACAATGCAGTCTGGTTCAGGAAGCTTGCGGTGGAGCCTGAGATTCTGCATTGCCAGTAACTCCCAGGAGATGCTAGTGCTGCTGGTTTGAGGACTACATTTGAGAAGCCAGGATTTAGAGGATTGTATGAGATACTATACATGGAAGAAGGACTTTTCGACTCTTGGGTACAACATGTAGAAGGGAATGCCACTAATAGCAGCAGTATTCACATACAGTATTCGATTTAGAATGAAAAGATGTGAAAGTCAGTAGTGTTACGTATTGTCTTTGATATGTATTTTCTCTAATATGTAACACTACTGACTTTCACATCCTTTCGTTCTTTTTTTCAGTGCTTCTAGCAGTACCTGTTCAATAATTAATTTATATTATTTTATTTCAGTTACTTAACTTTACCCTTAAAACCAGGAGGAGTTTGGTAATCACTTTTCCCTTTAGCAAGTATGATGGGTAGTAGCTGCCCTCTCAACAATGGTGACAAAAGACGGAAGGAAATAATACATCCTCCCGTCACCTTAAGTAACTTTCAACACTCTTCTTTCAGTGCTTCTAGCAGTACCTGTTCAATAATTAATTTTTTTAGTGTAGTTAAGATAGGGCCTATGGAATATACCATGCTTTGCACAGCACACATATATTGGAAAGAAGAAAAGGAGGGATAAAGGGAAGGAGGAAGGAAGGGTGAAAGGATAAAATACATTCTGTTTTATAGTACAGGTGGATGTCTCCTCTTAGAGAAAAGGGAATGTCAGAGAAAAAATGAAGGCAAACCATTGACATATTACATTGAATATATGAGGACAATCGTTAAGTAAAGACAGATTAGTTTAAGATATTTACGGTGATGATGGGGGAATTTAGGGATGGTATTATGAATAGATATGGCTTGATTAATTTCCAGAAACTCTCTGCAGATTCAACTATTTCAGGGGTCCCCAATGCCCAGGCCATGAACCGGTACTGGTTGGTGGCCTGTTAGGAACGAGGCCACAAAGCAGGAGGTGAGCTGTAGGTGAACGAGCATTATCACCTGAGTGCCACCTCCTGTAAGATCAGCAGCAGCATTAGATTCCTGTAGCAGTGCAAACCCTACTGTCAACTGCACATGTGAGGGATCTAGGCTGTGCATTCCTTATGAGAATCTAGCTACTGCTGGATGGTCTGAGGTAGAATAGTTTCATCCTGAAACCATCCCCACCCTGCCATCCTGGTCCATGGAAAAACTGTCTTCCACAAAACTGGTTGGTCCCTGGTGCCAAAAAGGTTAGGACTGCTGGAATACTCTATCTCCCTGAAAGAGATATAAAAACATAGAGAAATTATTTTTGTCAAGAACACTTTTTTTTTTTTGGTCTCACACTGTTGCCAAGCTGGAGTGCAGTGGTGCAATCTTGGCTCACTGCAACCTCCGCCTCCTGGGTTCAAGTGATTCTCCTGCCTCAGCCTCCTGAGTAGCTGGGACTACAGGCACGCACTATCACACCCAGCTAATTTTTTTGTATTTTTAATAGAGATGGGGTTTCACCACGTTGGCCAGGATGGTCTCGATCTCTTGAGTTCATGATCTACCTGCCTCAGCCTCCCAAAGTGCTGGGGTTACAGGTGTGAGCCACCACGCCCAGCAGGAAGAAACATTATTTTTAGATCTGCATCCAAGACCACAGACCTTATCTATAAGTAAACAGCATTTATTGAGCACTCACTGTGTGCACAGCACGATACCAAGTACACTTCCTTTTTCCATGGAACTCAACTTCATGACTGTGTCACTGCACAACCAAGTGGTACCAGGACCCAGGAGCAGGGCTGCATTGTCTTCTCATCATTTTTGGCAAGCTGACTTTACCTTCTAAGTTTTAAAAGGACTCCATAGGTAATCCTCAGTTACTGTCTACTAATATTTGGACTAACCGAAAAAAGACAAGCATTTAAAGGTGAATTCCCCTCAGGATCCTTTATTCAAATGATACCTCACCACACCACCCAGTCTCAAATTGCACCCTCTCTCACTCTGTCCTCACGTGAGCCCTCACTCCTGCTCATATTCTCCCTAGCACTTGTCACATACTCTGGAGTTTTCTTAATTGTTTTGTTATCATCTGTCTCCCTCAGTCAGACACAAACTCAGAGATCAGGGATGGTTTTTTTTTTTGGCTCTGTTCACTGCTGTATCCCAGCAACTGGACTTGCATCTACACATAGCAGGTGCTTAGTAAATACTGGTTAAAAGAATAAATAAATAGGATTTATAGTAGTTAAATGCTTTAACAACATTTTCTTAAAGCCCATTAGAGAAGGGACTGTGTGGTTTTATTTTTCCAGAGCACATCTGTGGAATTCTGGAAATCATTATTTAACTCATTTTCTCCCAAATAAATAACTTTCTTTTTTGAATAAAGATGGGAGCCAATATAACGTATTGTCCAAGACTTAATGTTTATTTGACAGTGAACATGAATAGGGCACATTTTTTTTTCTGTGCCCCTTCCAAAAGCAAGGTGCTCATGGAGCCATGCAGGGGGCTCCCTGGAGAATTACTTACGAGACAGCTTCCTGGAGTATACAGAGTGACTGCTGAGTATCTAAGGTATCTCTTTTTCCCTTGTCTTGGTGACCAGGAACCACAGGAACAAAATTGGGGAGGTTAGTTAATCTTTCTTCAGTTCAAGGAGAAAGAGCACCTCTGATGGGACCTTATCTCCCATAAACATCCTGGATCAAGGGGTAACCTTCAGCATCTCCTAAAGCAGAGAAGTGTGGTAAGAAATACCAATCCCAGCCAGGCGCTGTAGCTCATGCCTGTAATCTCAGCCCTTTGGCAGGCCGAGGCTGTCAGATTACGAGGTCAGGAGATCGAGACCATTCTGGCCAACATGATGAAACCCCATCTCTACTAAAAATACAAAAATTAGCTGGGTGTGGTGGTGTGTACCTGTAGTCCTAGCCACTCGGGAGGCTGAGGCAGAAGAATTGCTTCAACCCGGGAAGCGGAGGTTGCAGTGAGCTGAGATCACACCATTGCACTCCAGCCTGGTGATAGAGCAAGACTCTATCTCAAAAAATAATAATAATAAATTAAAAAAAAAAAAAAGAAATGCCAATCCCTAACTCACGGTTTCCCAGGGTTGTGCCAGGTGAATCCCAATCAGGCCTCAATTGAGATAGTGCTTCTCTCCTTTAGTAGACCACCTATTTTTTGATGCCTAGAGTTACGGGCCTTCAGTTTCACTCCCGGTTCATTTGAAAGCTACAGAGATGATCACGTTTCACTGTCTTAACCCTTCAAGGATAGCACTGATGGTACCTAACAGAGCAGAGTGTCACGGTGACCTGACCTTGGAAATGGTTTGGTGAGAGCCGAGCTTCAGCTTGTGAATCCTATTTTCAGTCTTCATGCAGTTTTAAGATTTAGCCCAATTTCCAGACCATCCCCGACCCAGGCTTGAAAATGGCTTTATTTCACACTTTGCGGCAGGAGGTAAGTGGGTTTCTATGTGAAAGTGATGGTGCCAAAGACATTTATGAACATTAAAAAATGTCTGAACATGGCTTAAAGCCACTCAGCCTATTTCTCATCCTGCGCCGTGCCTTGTGGAGCGTATGCAAGTTCAGAGCTCTCTTTGAAATCAGTGGCAGTTATGAGCTTGGAGCAACTCTGTGGGGCACTGAGCAATATAATAAATGAACCCCTTTGAAGACCAACCATTGTAGCTGGGCTCTTTTTGTGCTATCCAGCACAGATTTCTCTGGGTGTTCCGTGGGGGCGGCGGGAGTGGCCCACCAACACAACATTCTCTGGTTTTCAACTTTGGTCCTGACAGGTGGGAGGGGTTTAGTAAAGTAAGTGCTCCCATTTCCTTAAAGAATTGGCCTAAACCCTTTGCTATTAACACCTGGGATAAGACATCCGGTGCCCACATACCTTCAGTTAAAACAAAACAAAAGCTTCCTTTCATCTGCATGTGCTTACTGGTCTATGCAGCAACAAAACCAGCAACAATAACAATAAGCAAAACAAAATAAGTCTGCCAGGAAACAAAGCAGACTTATTTGTATTATCAGGGATTTTTCCAATTATTTATTTAGTTAAAAGCAGAGAATACAATCTGGGATATTTTTCATGTTTCCCCTGTGACATTGCAGGCCAAGTTGATAATCTGATACAAGGACAAAATTTGCTGAATATTCTTAAACGAGAATTAAAGCTTTTTTATTGACTTTTGACTAAATATTTTGAAATGGCTGGTATCCGTATTTCAAATAGTTCAATAAGGTAAGTATGTTCAAGTTGCCTTTAAATATAATTAAGAAGACTGAATTGGCCGGGTGCAGTGGCTCACACCTGTAATCCTAGCACTTTGGGAGGCTGAGGTGAGCGGATCACGAGGTCGAGAGATCAAGACCATCCTGGCCAACATGGTGAAACCCCGTCTCTACTAAAAATACAGAAATTAGCTGGGCGTGGTGGCGCGTGCCTGTAGTCCCAGCTACTCAGGAGGCTGAGGCAGGAGAATTGCTTGAACCCGGCAGGCGGAGGTTGCAGTGAGCTGAGATCCCGCCACTACACTCCAGTCTGGTACCTGGCGACAAAGCAAGACTGTGTCTCAAAGAAAAAAAAAAGAAGACCGAATCATTTGGTCCTATTTTTCAAGTACAAGTGTGAATGATTGCTTGAATGCTACCTCCTGCACTGGATGCAGATTCAACTAATTTTTGCTGAATCTCTTCTTTACTTCTCACAATCACACTATGAGATCAATATTGTTAACCCTACTCAGCAGATAAAAGAACTGAGGCAAGAGTTCCAATGGCAAAGAGCTGGTGTCAGAGTTGGTACCTACACCTAGATCCTTTGACCCTCAAATCCAGCCCTCATTCCACAGCAGAATTTAGCTACTTGTCAAGCTACAATAATCTGTCCCTCTCTGCAATTAAAGTAACATGTTATTTATTCACAGTGAGAAGTATTTGAGCCAATACTGAATCAGGGCCAAGTCCCTGTAGGGGACCTGATCAAGAGCGATTGTAAGAAAAGTCAATACCAAGTGAAATGGACTTCAAGGAAACATTCATTTCTATATACAAATGTGGCATAAGAAAGTTCATTTTACTATCTTTGAAACTATTTCTAAAATAAAGATAGAATAATCTTTATAGTTACTGACTGGCATAAGAACTTTTGTTTACTTTCTCATATTCAGCCTCATTCCCAAACAATGCTAGGTGAATATCAGATGAAAAATAAGTGAAGTGTAGGTAAAGAGAAATGGAAAATAATGCTAAGTGGAAACCAGAGATAAGTTATTCCAAAGGCACACCACACTGAAGATGAAGGCAAAACACAAAAATAAAACAAATATATCAGTTGTAAGATAATAATAATAAGTAATATGTATTAAGGACTTGTGGTTTGCCAGACATAATGCTAAACATTTTTACATTGATTGTTTCATTTGATTCTCACTGCATTCCTATGGAGCACGTACTGTTATTTTTGCTCATTTACAGATGAGTAAATCAAAGCATAGAGAAGTTAATAAGCTCAAGATCAACCAACTAATAGATGATGGATGCTGAATTTGAAACCATGCATTCCGGCTTCAAGACCATACAAACATGCAAACACAATGCCATTACTCGTGAAAACCCAATTGCTTCCTGGCATTTGGGTCTAAGAGAAATGGCTCACGAATGGAACATAAACGATACTGAGGATGGTGCCTTTCCTGTTCAACAGCCTCCATGATGCGAAAAAGGCTGAGAGGCCTATGGCTGTTTCTTGTTGGGCCCCTCAATGCCAGCCAAGGCCCATGCCAAAATGCAATTCAGTAAAAGTGAGTAATAGTAAAAGGGGCCAAAACAATATGGCTCAAGTATTTAGTTTGATGGTTTACCTTGATCTTGAGATATAGTCTAAACTAGCTGGAGAGATGGATGGAGTTCATGTCCTTCAGGCAATCCTCCGTGGAGCCTCCTTAGCTGTAAACATTCCTTGAGCACCGCTCTGCTGAAGGGAAAAGAAAAATCATAACCATATAGAATGGAGATCATAAATCTGGAGTGAAACTAATCTCAACTATGCCTTCAGTGTTACTTAGTAGTCCTATTACATGCGCTTCTCCCGTTTCCCTCAGCTGCTGTTCTAAACTTTCTCCACTCTTCAAAACTTTCAATCTTCTCTTGTTTGGGATAACCTTGCTTCTAATTTAGGGACTAGCAACTATCAGGAGTGGCTTCTTTCATTTTCCTGTCCATTCACTCATATAAGCCCACCTGCGCCTGCGTCAACTTTTTCTTTGTCCTTATTTCTAGCAAAACACAATTTTCCTATCAAAGGCAAGCCAATCCATTAGAGCTCTGAAAATTATTCTACCTTGGACATAGAAGGGGTTTTGTCCCATTAGACATAGAAGTTAAACAGACAAAACCCCTTTAGTGACCCATTTATTTAGCACCCTTATACCTCTTCCTCTGATGGCTATATTTTTAGAAAGTGAAAGTTAAATTTACTATCTATGATTTCACATCATCCACGCACTCTGATCCATTCGAACCCGTATCACTGCAGAGATAGTCTTGCTTCTCCCTCTAACCCAGTGGAATAAGCATTGTTAATAATCTGACTCTTCTTCCATTCTTGGAGCTCTGGCTTTGTCTATTTTCTCTCTCACCTGGCTTACCTCCTACTGCACTCACTACTCCTTATCCAGTGCCTTGGTTCGTTTCTGTTTCTTTGTCCTCTTTTTAAATGTCAGTATCTTTTTGTCCCTCTTTATTCACTTTTGGGGGGATCTTGTCCCTACCACTGTTTAACATCTAAAACTCTATCCTAAAGGAGAAGTCAAATTATCTTTGTTTGTAGATAATATGACCTTATATTTGCAAAAACATAAGCATTTCATTGAAAAAATATCAGAGCTGATAAATTCAGTAAACTTGCAGTATACAAAGTCAGAATACAAAAAGCAGTAACATTTCTATATACCAACAGCAAACAATCTGAAAAAGAAATCAAGAAAGTAATCCCATTTACAATAGCTACAAATAAAATTAAATTTCTAAGAATTAACTTCATCAAAGAAGTGAAAGATCTCTTCAATGAAAACTACAAAACACCTATGAAAGAATTGAAGAGGACATACAAGAAATCGAAAGATACTTCATACTCATGAATTAGAAGAATCAATATTGTCAAAATGTCCACATTGTTCAAATAATTTTTGATTCAATGCAATTCCTATCAAAATACCAATGACATTCTTCACGGTAATAGAAAAAACAATCTTAAAATTTATATGGAAGCACAAAAGACCCAGAATAGCCAAAGCTATCTTGAGCAAAAAGAACAAGATTGGAGGAATAACATTACCTGACTTCAAATTATACAGCAGAGCTATAGTAACCAAAACAACATGGTACTGGCATAAAAACAGTCACATAGATCAGTAGAACAGACTAGAGAACTCAGAAAGAAATGTATTATATCTATAGTAAACTTCTTTTTGACAAAGGTGCCAAGAACATACATTGGGGAAAGGACAGTCTCTTCAATAAGTGATGCTGGGAAAACTGGATATCCATATGCAGAAGAATAAAACTGGATCCTATGTCTCACCATATCAAAAAAAATCAAATCAAAGTCAATTAAAGACTTAAATCTAAGACCTCAAATTATGAATCTAATGAACGAAAACATTGGGGAAACTCTGCTGGACATTGGTCTATCTTGAGAAACACCTCACAGGCACAGGCAATCAAAGCAAAAATGGACAAACAGGATCACATAAAGTTAAAAAGCTTCTGCACAGCAAAGGATACAATCAACAAAGTAAAGAGACAACCCATAACAAATCAAAACTACAATGAGCTATCATCTCATTCCAGTTAAAATGGCTTTTATCCAAACATCAGACAATAACAAATGCCAGTGGGATATGGAGAAAGGGGAACCCTTATATACTGTTGATAAGAATGCAAATTAACACAACCATTACAGAGGACAGTTTGGAGGTTTTTCAAAAAAGTAAAAATAGAGCTATCATATGATGCAGCAATCCCATTGTTAGGCATATACCCCAAAAGAAAATAAATCAGTATATTGGAGAGAGATCTGCACTCTCACATTTATAGCAGCACTATTTACAATAGCCAAAATTCAGAAGCAACCTAAGTGTCCATCAACAGGCAAACAGATAAAGAAAATGTGGTTCATATACACAATAGAGCATATACACAGTATACACAACAGGCAAACAGATAAAGAAAATGTGGTTCATATACACAATAGAGCATATACACCGTATACACAACAGGCAAACAGACAAAGAAAATGTGGTTCATATACACAATAGAGCATATACACAGTATACACAACAGGCAAACAGATAAAGGAAATGTGGTTCATATACACAATCCATAAAAAAGAATGAAATCTCATTTACAACAGCATGGATGGAAGCAGAGATCGTTATGTTAAGTGAAATAAATCAGGCACAGAAAGAAAAACATCACATGTTCTCACTTATTTGTGGGAGCTAAAAATTAAAATAATGGAACTCGTAGAAACAGAGAGCGGAACGATGGTTCAACAGAGGCTGGGAAGGGTAGAGGGGGCTTGGGGCTAGGGAGTGGGATGGTTAAAGGGTACAAAAATAGAAGAATGAGTAAGATGTAGTACTTGATAGCACAGTAGGCTGACCATAGTCAATACTAACTTAATTGTACATTTAAAAATAACTAAAAGAGTATAATTTTAACACAAAGGATAAATGTTTGAGGTGATGGATACTCCATTTATCCTGATGTGATTATTATGCATCATATACCTATATCAAAATATTTCATTTTATGTACCCCATATATACACCTACTATGTACCCACAAAAATTAAAATTAAAAAGAAAAAATAGGAAGAGTAAACAGAGTATAGTAAAACAAAAATAAATCTCTTTCCTAAGCTCTAGTCCCTTCCATACCAACTGTCTTCTAAATAGTTTCATTTGGATATCCTACAGGCACTGCAAACTCACTATGTCCAGAATTGAACATGTTAATCTCTGCTTAGGTGTCTAGTCCCAGTTACTCTACAAAGCCTATTCTTCTTTCTATATTCTTTGCATTATATTTATTTATTTATTTATTTATTATTTATTTATTTTTAGACGGAGTCTTGCTCTGTTGCCCAGGTTGGGGTACAGTGGCGCGATCTCAGCTCACTGCAACCTCTGCCTCCCAGTTTCAAACAATTCTCCTGCCACAGCCTCTTGAGTAGCTAGGACTACAGGATATTTTACATTATATTTATACTCTTTATGCTAATGAAGGTTTACACCCTCTACCCAGTTTCCCAAGCCAAATGTTTGGGAACCTTTGATTCTTTTCCTACCTTTTAAACACCATATCCTATTTATTCTTCTTGCATCTCTCCCACATTTTATGGGCTATGAGGTTACTTGATTAAGTCCATGAACTTCCTTAACTACTGCAATACACTGCATGACATTTGCCTGACCTCCAAGAATTGCCTTCCCTAATTTTCCTTTCACTGTGGCCCTAGAACTCAAAGACAGATACTTGATGTTACTACCTTTCTTACAATTGATTTTTAGCATCTTGGAACTCACAGCACACAATTTAAAACCTTTTGTCTACCTGAAAAACACCTTTTCATGTTTCTTCTTTCTCTGGGACGTTTTCCAGAACAGATTTAGACATGTTATCCTAATCTGCCACTCAACTTTGTGGGTCATCCAATGCTCGTATTTTCATGTTTGCAAGTCTGATTCTCCAATTGTTTCAACGACTAGATAGCAAGTCCTTGCCTTCTTAACTTTGTATTTATGGCATGTAGTATACTTTTAGTGAATGAAGAAAGTGTGTGTGTGTGTGTGTGTGTGTGTGTGTGTGTGTGTGCGTATTTTTAAGTATATAATTGCAATGACTGGCAAAAAAAATCGCTTGGGAATCTCAAAGCATGCCCTGCCAAAATTAAAATCAGAATGCCTACTTGATTACATATATAACTTTTGAGACGCACTTAGGAATGTATCCTGACTATGATTTATGCTATAGTAAGAATGTGTTCCACCACTGGGACATGCACACACTTTTAAGAGCTCTGTATTATGGTGGTGACAGTGCTTAATGTTTTTGACCAATAGACACTCCAACGATCCCCATGAATTAGCTGCAGTATACGTTGGAAAAGAGATTAGGTGAGGTCTGTGTAATACTCTGCTGAGACACTCTTCCTTAAGGTGACCAGTTTCAGTATTTCTAACAATAGAACTTCAGCTCCCACAGATTTTTCAGACATTCATCTGAGTCCATCAAATGCTGAGGCTGAAGAGACACAAGCCCCTTTCCGCGATTATAGCCGTCACCACTGGCCTGTGTACAGGGTCAGGGAAGATGGGCGGCCTTTTCTTTTTTAGAGAGATGTTTTTTACCTTTGTTGTCGGAACTTTCTCTTTAATTTCTCTCACAACAAGAGACCAAAATTAATTATTTCCTCATAGTAACTTTCTCCCTCTCAAGGGAAATATTATATACAAACTGGAAGTATTATACTTTGAGTAATGAGAAAATGTTAGGATTTTCTAGAAAAGCTAAGAGAGCATTTGTATTCAACAGTTGTTGCTGTTTTCCAGCGCTATGGAGGGAGATGACTTGGCATGGACTCCTGTTTACAAGCTGGGTAACCTGAGGCAAATCTTACCCTCTGCCTCTCATCCTTTGTTTCCTGTTTAACACTGAAGTTTGTGTTTCGGGGGAAAAGAACGTCTAACTTAGTCTGCCTATTTAGGGTCTTTTATTCCAGTCTTTGTGACAATTCAACCCTCATCTAATCTGTTACTTCAGTCAATATACAATTAACATACTATTCAAGGTTTATTGGCTGATAACTTCATCATTGCCACATTTTTTTCAAATTGATTTAATAATGGATGAAGCTAGGCCTAGAACATGCTTTATGCATATGACTTCTGTCCTGGCTTAGGGCCTCATTAAAATTTGAATTTTTGATGGTTAGCTTGTATTTCAACCAATATACTAATTCTCCCTCTACTTTTTAATCCTTAAAAGAAAATCAAAATTTTGATTAAACAGAATCAGAAAAAAAATAAGTCACAGTTTAGAAGAATGCAAGTAACAGGAACAGAGGGGGGAAAAGCAGATTGTCAATGACTCTTAAAGAGAGAAATGTGTGCTATAGTAAATTCTATGTATTGGTCAAGACCAAAATAACTTACCGTTTTTTAAGAAAGATGCTAGCTGGGCGCAGTGGCTCAAGCCTGTAATCCCAGCACTTTGGGAGGCCGAGGCGGGTGGATCATGAGGTCAAGAGATCGAGACCATCCTGGTCAACATGGTGAAACCCCGTCTCTACTAAAAATACAAAAAATGAGCTGGGCATGGTGGCGCGTGCCTGTAATCCCAGCTACTCAGGAGGCTGAGGCAGGAGAATTGCCTGAACCCGGGAGGCGGAGGTTGCAGTGAGCCGAGATCGTGCCATTGCACTCCAGCCTGGGTAACGAGAGCGAAACTCCGTCTCAAAAAAAAAAAAAAAAAAAAAAAAAAGATGCTCATACTTTTGTTTATTAGTGATGTGAAGAATCAGTACTACAACTGGTACAACTAAACAAGGGATGCCTAAAAAAAGCCTGCTTCACAAAATTGTTATAAGAATTAAATGTGGTAACATATATGAAAGCAATTTACCGATTACAAAGTTCTCCATAAATGTCTAGTGCTGCCAGAGCAGCCATTTATTAGAGACTGCCAACTTTTGGGTCACTAATTTCTATGTGGCTTCATGGGCTTTAATTCAATGAGTTTCAGGAAACAATAGGCCTTGATCAGAGCTACAGAATTTGCTCACATAAGAATACCAAATATACCACCTGCAGAGTATTTTATTTGCTTTAAAGGCCAAAGATCTTTTTCTTATTTTAAAAAATGCATAAGACTTTCTGTTTTTGAAACCATAAGTAGCACTGACATCTCTCAAGACTGAAAGCGCTATTGTCTCGTTTTAAGTTGCCTCTCCTTCTTATTAGGAGAGGATGTTGTTGGCAGGAATGAATAATTAGGTAACTCTTTGTGGGCACATTTTCTTCAAGTCCCAAGGGGAATGTACAATTGTAACATCTCCTTGGATTATTTCACAAACATATGGCAAATGAAGCACCTGAGCCAGATGTACAAGCATATTATAGTATGTCTGTTTTAACTTAAAACTGTGAAATACATCAGATGGTGAAGTTATTTTGGTGGTGAACATCCATCATGGAAAGAGTACGGAAGCATCTTTTCTTTATTGTCCATTTTACTTGGACTGGAAATAATCAAGAACAAAACAGTTTGGAAATCATCATTTGCTGTATGATATTCCAGGTAAAGTTCAAGACCTAATGAAGTACATGGTCTGGATTTAGTTGGGCCTCAGACATCTCCACATGGTTTGTTCATGCCTATTGCCAATACTCACTGCTGGCAGGCCTGGAGTCTCAGATTACCCATGATTATTTTCAGTTCTTTTTTTCCCCCACCTCATCTCATGTTTTCACTCCTCTGGAGATGTATATGGGTTATTTAATAGATATTGTTTAAATAATGAGAATATATTTTCTACTGATTCAGTAGAGAGGTTTTGCTGTTTTTATTTTTAACCCTATTTTATTATATTTTATTTATTTATTTATTTTGAGATGGAGTCTTGCTCTGTCACCAGGCTAGAGTGTGGTGGCGCAATCTCAGCTCACTGCAACCTCTGCCTCCTGGGTTCAAGTGATTCTTTCACCTCACCCTCCGGAGTAGCTGGGACCACAGGCATGTGCCACCACACCTGGCTAATTTTTTGGTATTTCTAGTAGAGACGGGGTTTCACCATGTTGGCCAGGATGGTCTCGATCTCTTGACCTCGTGATCCGCCCACCTCAGCCTCCCAAAGTGCGGGGATTACAGGCGTGAGTCACTGTGCCCAGCCTTTTAACCCTATTTTATTGTTACAACATTGGTTGTTTATTTTACTAAAGAGTTATCATCTGGTATTGGCTTCTTGGAATCATAGTAATCTAAGCAGAAATACCCATCCCATTTGCTAGTGGGAACACTGTGTTTCAAAATGAATAGTATAATTTTTAATCTGAGTTACTCATATTTCAGAATTAGAAGCTGTAGATGCCACAGAACTCTCAAGTGTACAGTAAGAAAATAAAGAATACCCAGGCATGGGCCAAGTATATTTTCCCTTCAATGCGTATGTGCAAATTCCATTAGCATTAATGAGTGCTATGCACATGTACTTAAGAGAATGCGGACCAAGTCACAATGTAATCTATTTCTTTATCCCGGTGAAAAAGAAAAGTGATGGGGGTTGGGGTCTGGCGAGGAGAGCTAGCATTGTATTCCTGAGCTTTTCCTGAGAATTAGAGTTACACAGGGCTGAAAGCATGCAAACAGTATGGTGGCAGTGACACCAGGGAAAAGACACTTACTTTTTACAGCCAGTATGGCATACAGCAGAGATTTGGGGGTTGAATTACTATGGTTGGCAATGTTGAAGCTGACAATAGAGGTCTGCAGAGTCCTGGATATTCTGGCTTTGTGTTGCATCAAAATAAGGAAACAAAATATTTATGAACTTAATGCTGCCTCTCAACTTTTCCCCCTTTGCATGGCAATTCTCTGCATGATGATGTGTATAGCTGTGCAGTTCAGATGCGTTCCTAGCCAATATCGCATTTCATAATGTGGTGCACCTGTGTTTTCTTGGTCACCCTGTTGTCACCAGGGTGTGTTAAAGCCCTCTCTCCAAAATAATTGAGTAGGAGGCAGTGCAGGGAGTGTCAGGGAAGGGGACAGCCTCTCTCCTCCCCCTTTATTTCTAACGTCTTCTCATTCGAAAAGCCTTGGAATGTAGATTTAATTTCAGGTGACAATGTCAGGTCTATCCCAGTTCAGAGCTGTTGATAAATCCCGGTATGGGACTGTGGTGACCCTGTGTGCCCTCATACTCTACCTATCACACAGGGATAAAGCTATATTTATAAAACACGCATCTAATATTGTAGAACGGCTGAGGTCAGGGCATCTGAGCCACACAGTATCAGGCATACAACCACACAAAACTGCATCACGCAGAGGCCCCCTTTGCAAAGCTGCTAACCCAAGAACGTCTCTCCCAGATTAGTAGGGCCTCCCGTGTATTAATGACCCTCAACCTTAGCAAGCCCAGCACTCTGATGAGTCTGAGAAATGGACTTTACGCATTGGGAGAAGCCACAAACAGCAAAACATGAATGACTAGCAATGAAGGCAGACAACAAAACGAAAATACTGATTTTTGTGCCCTTACCTTCATTTCCCCCCTGAAGATTTAAACTTCTGATGGTAAAAGCAATCATATTCTGACCCTAAAGGGCTGAGGTTCCGTTGCCAGTGGTTGTTTAAAGGATCATTCCTCAGCGGCATTGTATCGCCAGCCCTAGCAGCGGCGGTGGCGACAACAACCACAGAAACTGGAGTTCAGTCATATTGGCATCGGATGCTGGAAAGGGGAGGGTAGGGAGAGAGGGAGTCTATTGGCCTAAAAAGCTGAAACATCTGCTGGAGTTATTAACAGCTTTTTGGCTGAGTTCAGCAGCAGGGCACCTTGTGGTTGATAGATTCTTCTCTCAGCAATTCAAAACAATGCAGTTAAAGCAAATTCCTCATTTTCAGAGCACAGCTTAATGAGGCATACAGTATTTTAAAAATAGTCACACTTAAAATGGTCAATAGCAGTGACTGCAATCAGTGGTTACCTTCAGTACTCTATTGCGTTGTTAACTTTGCCAGGGTGATTGCATAACGTGGATTTTTCAAAGGACCGTGTAGCTCACGGTTAAGCTCACTTTGCAGGAATTTATATTATTTATGAAGTTTATGCAGATCAACCTAGGGTGTAAATATTGGCAAACTTGATCAAAACCACTTAGAGGCCTCATGGCTATCCTTTCCCAAATCTGTGCATTAAGCCACTTTAGGCTCAGAAGTCCAATTCCAGGAAAGTTCCAAGGGGCCACATTTTGAAGATAAAAGGAAAGGAAACATGTGAACAGCCTGAGCTGGAGAAAGGACTGAGTTGAAAGTCAGGGTCGAAGGTTCTAGCTCTAGTCCTAATACTAACTGGCTGCGTGAGTCCTCGCGGGAGTCACTTAATCTTTCTGCTTCAATTTCTTTCTGGATAAAATTATGGGGCCAATTAAAGGGCATGTCTCCAAATGTTTCCATCCAGCTCTGCCATCTTGGGAACTATGGAGTTCAAAACCAATTTTAAAGTATTCCCCTTATGATAGCCGTGAATTGTAACCACACTGAAGATTGTTCACCAGTATGTGACAGTATGCATGGTATTTGGGTAGGGGCATCAGACAAACAAACTGCAAAGTTAAATAGCTCTGTCAGTCACTTCAAGTGAACACACCATATGCTGCAACAGACGTGGGCAAAGTACAACCAGCCCCAGCTGGATTTGCTAGCCTGTTAGTTTATCTGGCCAGATGACAGTGTCCAGCCCCAAAAAGGCTCATGCGCAGCTTTGCATCCTACTGATCCAGCATGCTAACTTTGGCAGAAGGAAGAGGGTGGCAAGGGAGAGAGAGGGCAGACCAGTGGTGGGTCAACATCTGTGACACAGCTGAAGTCAGCCCCACTCCTCTTTCATCGCTTGCCTAGCACATGGAAAGAGAGGAGAGAGAGTTTGCCAAGTTATTGTTTCCTCAGGCAGTTAAATAATCTGATCCCCCGTTGCAGAGAAAAATCACAGAATGGTGCCCTCCTTTCTGCATTCTGGTCCAAGGATCCCTAAGGACAAAGGAAGAATTGTTATCTATTAAACGTTTTTTCTTGTTGGTTCTAAGATATGGTTAAATCCTGATAGGGTCTTATGAAGTGAGAGTGTTTCTAGTCTCTAATCACCAATTTCCATCATTAAGGCTAAGGGTACATGGTCCAAGGTCAAATCGATTTGTCTGATCCTCTACCTCAGTAAGAGTCTCAGGTTTCACTCAAACCTGCTGGGAGCATTGTACAAGTTAAGTGAATAAAAACAAATCAAAGTCTTTCCACACTGCCTGAAGGGCTCATAAGGTGTGGTCCTTGATTCCTGAATGAACTTAAAGGGAAACCATCACAGGGGCCAGAGCCCTCATCCTGCAGATGAAGAAGGAGATTGTCCTCCAATTCCTTGCTGCAGAAGCCACTTGGTTGGTACCTGGCTTGACTTTTAGATGAAAGCATGTATCTATAGAAGAAAGCCTCAGACCACTCAAAGAAGCTGAGAGATGCTTCTTATGGCAGCTTGGACCTTTGTTGTCATTGAAAACAGAACTGATGGCATGCTTGTCCTCCATGAATGCCAGCCAAGGTGCTGTGCTGAGGTTGCTGTTGCCATCAGAGACTCAGCCATTGCCGAGTAATTAAATCCTGAACCCTGTTTAACCAGATCCAAATAGCTCTCAATAAGCCTCAGTTTTGGTGGCTATCAATCCCAGGATTGATCACTGGCCTCTCACAGGGGCATCTTCTGTAAACCTGTCGTTCTGTGGTACAGGTGGTCCTCTATGTGACTGTGGCATACGGACACTGAAATCTTGTGTAAAGGAGCCCCCAGTGTGTCTGCAATGGGAGGAATACCGACCCAGGAAGTTCTGCATGAGCAGAGTATATCTTCCACAAAGTCCCATGGAAAGCCATACCTAGACTCTCCTTCAACGCATATACAGATGAGATGGGAAAGCCCCAATCTCTGCTGAAAAGATAGTGACCTGGGTTTCAGAGGAAATTAACTGCCCAGCTCCCAAATCCACTGCTGCTGAACCTGGGGTTGCAGATTGGCCTTAAGGCCCACATATCTCATGCAACGTGTTCAGCAGTTTCTTCCTGAAGCCCGAGGACACAGGCTGCTGCTGAAGACTGTCGCAGCTCCCGCCCCATGGGACATTGAGTGAACAGACACAGCCACAGCCACAACCACACAATGACCTTAAACTGGCCTTTTGTCGGTTCTTAAAGAGAATACTGAAATAAAGTTGATGGGGAAAAAAATATCAATTTAGTGTTACACACTCACTCCAGCAGATCTGTGTCAAAAGGCAAGTACAGACATGCCCTCACATCTGTGTCACCTAGAGCATGGCTGCTGATTTTCTAGAAATATGTGCATTTTAAACACAATGTCACCTGTCAAGTCAGGGCATGCATGAGACCCAATAGCAAATCGTTTTTTTGCATGGTGAAAAAAAAGCAACAGTATCTTCTTTGAACTTTGCCATATTTGACAATTACCACATTAAAATATAATTCTAATTCTGATGCTTCAAAGACCTTTGTTGTGTTTAGTAAAATTAAGAAGTAGAAATTACAAAGCCCATGGCTATCTTTATTTTGGCCAATAGGCCAGTAGTTAATTTTGAGTGAGTTGCTCAACCTCTGTGTAATAATCTGCCTTTTTCCAAGTAAAGTAAAACTAAGTATTGTTATCACATACTGTTATAAGACTTCATACTTTTTTTCAAAGTTAATATGAAAATGCTGGGGCTTAATAATAATTGCATTACAGCCTAATATTTTATAATTGTTAGAATTATTACTCTATAATCTGAAATGAGTCTTATAATTATTCATTACTTAGAGAAAAAATATTTCTTAGGGCTGCTACATAGATGAAAGATAAAGGAGATAATGCAATCTTGGTATTGGCACAGCCAAGTAACAATATCCTTGTAGCATTCCAAGGGGACATTAGGGGCCACCTGCTCTAATCTCATTGTTTTAAATAGGGAAGATAGTCTTAGAGAGTCTAAGCCACTTGTCTAAGATTACACAGTGAAATTGCTCTGCAACATATTCTATTTCTCAATATAGTTTTAATAATAAAACTATACTCTCTTATAAGACATGTTATCAAAGAAATAGTAAGTAATTAAGATAGGACTCTAATATAGTATCTACCTTTTGTCTCTTTTTATATAATCCCCCTGATAGTACCTTCTTTTAGCAAAGAGAAGAATGTCTACTGCGGTCCAGAAAGAGTAGAAAATTTTGCTCTCAAAATCCTTCAGTCTATATTGATATTCAATATTAATCTTTATCAATTCACCAATAAATAAATAAATGTTTTGCTCTGCTGAAATATATAAGAATAAACAGTAGCTTCAACCACAAGAAGAGGCTCTGGGAAAAAGATGCCAATACTGTTAAGTATTCCTGACACTTTGCTAAGAGCTTTTTAAAATATGTAGTTGAGGCCAGATGCAGTGGCTTACACCTATAATCCCAGCACTTTGGAAAGCCAAAGCGGGGTGGATCACCTGATGTCAGGAGTTACAGATCAGCCTGGCCAACATGGTGAAACCCTGTCTCTATTAAAAATATGAAAATTAGCTCCTGTAATCTCAGCTACTTGGGAGGCTAAGGCAGGAGAATCTCTTGAAGCCAGAAGGCAAAGGTTGCAGTAAACAGAGATTGTGCCACTACACTCCAGCCTGGGCAACAGAGCTTGATTCCATCTCAAAAAAAAAAAAAAAAAAAAAAAAAAAGCAGTTGATTTTAATTATCTAAATCCCATAAGGTAGGTACTTTTTTTTTTTTAACATGTAAAGAAACAGAGACTCAGAGAGGGATAGTACACTGCCTAACATTGCATTATTACTACGTTGTAGAGAGAAACTTTAATTCCAGGTTTGCCTAACTTGACCTCTTCATTTACCCATATGTATAATACATTTGCAGAACAATATATATTCAAAGAAATACACATAGTAAGTGTTGGGCATTATAGATAATGCCTGTCATGAGAGCGCCAAGGAGATATCACTTGATATCCCTGGGAATGAGTCAATGATGACTCATGGCACATTAGAGTGGCCATGTATTATGTTCCACTGAAAATCTTACTTGAGCCAAGTCTTGAGGAATGGGTAGGATTTGATAGGAAAATACAATAAGGGGGAACATTTCACTATGAAGAAATAGATTCTATCCAGGAGTGCAAAGTAAAGAAGTATAAACATATCGTCTTAGTTAAAAAGAAAGGTTCCTTTTGAGAAGTCATAAAACGAGATCAGAGAGGAAGCTTGGATTTGGACTCTAAAGAATTAAATGCCGGGCCAGGCGCAGTGGCTCACGCCTGTAATCCCAGCACTTCGGAAGGCCGAGGCGGGTGGATCATGAGGTCAAGAGATTGAGACCATCCTGGTCAACATAGTGAAACCCCATCTCTACTAAAAATACAAAAATTAGCTGGGCATAGTGGTGCATGCCTGTAGTCCCAGCTACTCGGGAGGCTGAGGCAGGAGAATTGCCTGAACCCAGGAGGCGGAGGTTGTGGTGAGCCAAGATCGCGCCATTGCACTCCAGCCTGGGTAACAAGAGCGAAACTCCGTCTCAAAAAAAAAAAAAGAATTAAATGCCAGAGTAAAGAGTTTGGCCATACTGGACTGTGAAATGTTATTTGGATATAAATTAGAAGAGAACCAGAGAAAGGAGACAG